GGCAGATGCTATGGGAGACAAGCAATCACTCAAGTAACCAGGCCTTATGCCATGTATAGGCTTTATAGGTAACAACCAGCACCTTGAATTGCACCCAGAAGCAAACTGGCAGCTCACAAAGTAGAGGTTTTACATGGGCATACCAAGGCATGTCCATCACTACTCACCCTACTGCATTCTGGACCAGATGAAGCTTCCAGGTGGTCTTCAAGGGCAGCCCCCTGTAGAGTACTTTGCATGAGATGACTAGGGTGTGAGTGATTGTCTGAAGGGCCCCCAACTTAGGAAGGTGCAACTGGTGCACCAGATGGAGTTGTGCAAAGGCCTTCCTGGCCACAGCTGCCACCTGTTTTTCAAGCAAGGGCTGTGAGTCCATGAAGACCCCCAGTTTGTGCATCGACCTTAGAGGGGGGAGTACAATCCCATCCAAGGTCAAAGATGGAATATCCCAGATCTGAGTGGCCCAAATAACCACAGCCACTTGGTCTTGGGAAGATTGAGTCAGAGACAATTCCTTTCCATCCAAACCTTTTATATTTTTATTTTGTTTTGTTTTGTTTTATTTTCCTTTTATGGGATAAAAATATGAAATTTACCTAATAATGACCTATGTTTTGTATCAAACATTTCTGTTTTCTGAAAAAAAAAAACAATTTTATTGACAACTTTTGAGTTATCATCAAAAAGACTCCTATAGAGACATATGGAAGTGCTAGTTGTTTTTTGGATTCTTTTATAAACTCATTAACTACAGTTGATTTTTGCCATTACAAATATAACAGATTTTTTCTGTTTAGTAGTATAGTTTGTAGGTATTGTACATGATACTCTAAAGGATTTTTTTCGTGGAGTGAATCTGTGACCTAGTCATTTGCTGCACAAAAGAGCGAGATAAGAAATTATTAATTCTGAGTGTCTGTCTCTGCTTTGTCAATTCATGATAAAGCAGTGTACAGGTAGTCCTCAACTTACAATGGCAATTGGGACCAGAATTTCTGTCTCTAAGTGATGTGGTCAAAAAGCATAATATCATTGCTTAGCGACAGCAATCCGTACTGTCCCTGTTGTGATTGTTAACTGAATCCCATGGTCATTAGGCAAGGCAACTTCCTGCCGGCTTCCCACAACCAAAGTCAGTGGGGAAGCTGGCAGGAAGTTGCAAGTCCCAGGTCCACAGGCAGATAAGTAGCTGCTGTCGGGTGGAGGAGGGAGTGAAGAGGTGGGTGGAAGTGTGGGAGAGGGTTGGGGAAGGTGCAGGAGAGGCACTGTGTGGGTTGGGGTGAGGGGGTGCATGAGAAGTGCCGTGTGGGTTGGGGAGGGTGCGCGGGGGTGTGTGAGTGGCTGGCATGGTGCGAGCACAGAGGAGCTGGGGGAGTATGTGTGGGTGGGGAAGACTTAACCCAGCAACTTGCAAACTTCCTTGGTAGGCTTATATGAAAGAACATTAAGACATTTAATTTTTCCTGGCAAAGATGAACAACATAGCCAACATACATTTTACTTTCTGACTTCAGTGGTTTTTGTGTTTCCAGTTATTGTACCATAGGCAGCAGATAATTGAAAATAACTTCTTTAATGATCCCTACTTTTTAGATATATTTTTTAAAAGTAGTAATAAGAGCACTGCATCTGTAACCAGGTGACACAGCTGTAGCCGATGATGAACTGATGCCTGTTCATGGTGCACAGTGATTTTGGTGTGCTGGGCAATGATAGTTGTCATGTTGACAACATTAAAAAATGATTTACACTACTATGATTGATTATGTGCCATAAAATAAGTGTTGATTCTTAGTGACTCCATAGTTTGAATTCTCCAGGGTGATGTGTCCTTAGCCTGGGCTTTCAGAATGTCCAACAGTGAACTACTCTGAGGACTGCTTTATTTATTTCAATCATATAATAAGAAACAACTTTGTAAGTCTGCATTGGTATCGGATAACATGTCAAACAATAAGCATGTCTGAGGCCATGGTACTAAGTTGCACTGAAATTAACTTTTCAACTGAAGTGCATATTAAGAATGTGGAATTGGAATTGGAAAGGGTTGCATAGACTGTTGACTCCAACCTCTTGTTCTCCACAGGAATTTAAGTGAAAGCATCTCTGAGAGATAGCCGACTGAACACTTCCAGTGGAGTATAACCTACCACCCTTCAGTTAATTGATTCTGTTGCCAAATTACTATTACAACTAGAATTTTTTTCTTCTAACATTCACTCGGAATCTGTCTTTAAGTTATATCTATCTTATATACATTTCAGTCCTGAAAGATGGAAAACAGATCTTGATTATTTGTTTGGCATTCTTTCAGCTACTTAAAGAGTACTATCAATATGTTCTCTCAGTCTTCTCTTCTGAAAATTGAAGATCCCAGTTCTTTCAGTATAATTCAGTAGAGTCAGCTGATCATCCTCATAGCCCTTCTTGGAACCTGTTTCACTTCTCTGAATACTTCTTAAAGTGTCATGCCCAAGAATAGGCAGTGTTCAAGGTAGAGTCTGACCAGTACAGAATAAAATGCAATATTTAGAGAACCCTTTTGAATTTTCAATATTTCTGCATAAATATGACCTAAAATATGATTTATTCTCCATGCAGGTCCTAAAACTAGATAAAGAGAACCCAGTTAAATGAGTCAAAAACATTATACTTGTTCATTGATATATTGAAGAAAATGATCCAAAGCTATGTATTGGTGAGTGGCAAAAATATGTGAACCTCTAGGATTATCAGTTCATTTGAAGGGGAAATTAAGAGTCAGGTGTTTCAGTCAATGGGATGATAATCAGAGGTGAGTGTGGGAGGTCCTGCCTTGTTGAAAGAACAGAATTCTGAGTCTGATCTTCACATCAGGTATGTGGAAGTGTGTCTTGGCTCAAACAAAGGAGGTTTCTGAGGACCTCTGAAAATAGTTGTAGATGCTCACCTGTCTGGAAAAGGTTCTAAAACTATTTCCAAAGAGTTTGGACTCCACCAGTCCACTGTCAGGCAGCTTGTGTACAAATGGAGGCAATTCAACATCATTGTTACCCTCCCAAGGAATGGTTGACCGACCAAGATCACACCAAGAGCAAGGTGTGTAATACTCCAGGAAGTCTCAAAGAACCCCAGGGTAACTTCTAAGGAACTCTCTTGCATTGGTGAATGTAAGTGTTCATGAGACCACCAACCGGAGAACACTGAACAACAATGGTGTGTATGGCAGGGTTGCAAGGAGAAAGCCACTATTCTCCAAAAAGAACATTGCTACATGTCTACAGTTTGCAAAAGACCACATGGATAAGCCAGAAGGCTATTGGAAGAAGGTTATGTGGATGGATGAGACCAAAAAAAATTTGGTGTTTTGGCGGTCTGTTTGGTGAAAGGCAAACAGTGCATTTCAGCATAAGAACCTCATCCCATCTGGGAAATGTGGTGGCAGTTTCATGGCTTGGGCCTGCTTTGCTGCCTCTGGACCAGGACAGCTTGCCATCATTGATGGACTGAATTCTGAATTGTACCAGCAAATTCTACAGGAAAATATTAGGGTATCTGTCCATGAACTGAAGCTCAAGAGAAAGTGGGTCATGCAGCAAGTCAACGACTCAAAACACACAAGTCATACGACCAAAGAATGGTTAAAGCAGAAGAAAGTTAATGTTT